TCCGCCCAACAACACTCGCCTGCGTGATCCACCTGTGTTTTCTGGTCTCCGAGGCGATGATGTCGAAGATTGGATCAAGAACTACGACCTCGTCAGCGATTTGAACAGGTGGGACAATCCACAGAAGTTGCGCAGCGTCCCATTTTACTTGTCCGATGTTGCGAAAACTTGGTTCTGGAACCGTGCACCACACGGATCTTCCCGACTGGGACACTTTCGAGCAGCAAATTCGTCAGATATTTGGTGCCCCTGCAGTTCACACTGAGGCAGCAAAGAAGAAACTCGCTCAACGCACGCAGCTGCCGGGTGAATCTTACACCTCTTATATTGAGGATGTCCTTGCACTGTGCAAGCGCGTTAACACCGGCATGTCTCAAAACGACCAAATACGCCAAATTATTAAAGGCATTAACACCGTCGCCTTTAATGCCCTCGCCACGCAAAATCCTGCCACCACCCAGGACGTGATAACCATCTGTCAGTGACTTGACGAGCTTCAGTCTCTTCGCCTTTGCTACGATGCCACCGACGTTCGTTTGCCTGCACCCCTCGACTTGCGTGCGCTTATTCGCGACATCGTTCGTGAAGAGCTGCACGGGCGCTGCTCTTCCTGTGCTGCGGAAGTTACTTTACCTTCTGAAAAAGATAGCTTGCGAGACCTGATTAAACAAGAGATCGCTTCCGCATCGCGTGCGACGTGTTCCAACAGTCCCTGCGTACGCCAGACGCACACGTACGCCGAAGTTGCTGCGCTCTCTGCCGCACCCACCGTTTCTGCGCCTACAACAGCAGACCATACGCCTGTGGCTTCGTTATCACCGCCAGTGCGTGCACCACCTTACTACGCACATCAGCGCCCACCTCGACCAATCTGTTACTACTGCGGCTATCGAGGACATATCGCTCGGTTTTGTCGAAGGCGCCAACAAGACGAGCAACGCGGCCACGCTCCCGAAGAACATCGAAGCTTCCGTCCGACCATGAACTATTTACGGCCACCCTCCCGATCGTCCTATTACCGTTCACCGTCACCTACTTACCATACGGACATGCCTGGGAATTCCCGTACGTCTCGCCGCAGGTCGCCTTCGCCACGTCGCCGTTCAGTGTCGCCTCTACGGCCCGCCTCCCATTCCACGAACGCCCACGCGGAAAACTCCCCAATGCAGTTTTAGGAGGGGAAACTGCATCACTTGGACAGCTAACAATTCCTCCAGAGCGGCCATTGAATTTGATAGTAGTGTTTGTAGAAGGTGTACGTGTTGAGGCTCTTGTAGACACTGGCACTGCCGTTTCGATTATTCGTGCTGATTTTTGTTCCCGCCTTCGAAAAGTCACCACACCTTATGGCGGCCCACCTCTACGTGCGGCGACCAACGCTCTCATTCGTCCACTTGCACAGTGTACCGTTCGTGTCTGCATAGAAGGCATTCGTCATCACATTGTTTTCGTGGTATTTCGTGAGTGCACCCACGCTCTCATTCTTGCGTGGGATTTCTTGTCTTCTGCGTCCGCTTTCATATCATGTCATCAGCGCCTCCTGCATTTAAATGCCACTGACTCTTCTCCGTTTGAACAAGATGGACGCATCCGCCTTGTCACAAAGTCAGATTATGTACTTCGGCCATACATCGAAGAAATTATAAGTGTTAATTGCACCGAGATTTTGGATGATGACGTACTAATTCTCCCTTACGGCCATACCCTACGTAGGGGCATTGTGATCACACCGGGGCTTATTCGCTTCTTCGATGGGTGTACGTACCTAACCGCCATAAATCAAACGGCCGAGTGTGTACTGCTCCCCTGTGGCTCAACAGTATCTTGCGCGGTCGACAGTGAGCCTGTTGCGATTGTTACTCTTCCGAACAACAACCACAACAATGTTCTGAAGTCGCAATCATTGCCATTCAGTGCCTCTGCCACACCTGTGTCGGCGACAATAAGCAATGACTTAACACCTGATCAAACTGAAGATTTGCTCGCCCTGTTAAATAGACACTGTTCTCTACTTTACGTGAACTCGCCCGCCCTCAGCATGACTACCACCGCTACTCACAGCATCCAGACTGACGGCTCTCGTATTGTACATCGGCGTCCATATCGCGTGTCTCAGGCAGAACGCAAGATCATCGAGGAAAACGTCTCAGACATGCTACGACGCAACATCATACGTCCTTCCTCGAGTCCCTTGTCATCCCCAGTTGTTCTCGTTCAAAATAAAGATGGGACAGTGCGTTTCTGCGTCGATTACCGTGCGCTAAACAAAATAACACGCAAGGATGTTTATCCCCTCTCTCGGATTGACGATGCACTGGATTCATTACAGGGCGCAGAGTATCTTTCCAGCCTCGACCTTAGGTCAGGCTACTGGCAGATACCAATGTCGGAGTCTGATGAAGTGAAGACCACCTTTTCAACGCCAGATGGGTTGTACGAGTTCAATGTGATGCCTTTTGGACTCTGTATGCGCCCGCCACCTTCGAACGCATGATATACGGCGTACTGCGTGGTTTGAAATGAAAAACATGTCTGTGCTATCTCGATGACATAGTAGTGTTTTCATCCACGTTCTCGCAGCATCTACAACGTCTTCACGAAGTCCTCACATGCCTTGCAAAAGCCGGTCTACAGCTTAACACCAAGAAATGTACCTTTGCTAGCAAGACAATCAAGGTTCTCGGCCACCTTGTCAGCAAAGAAGGAATTCGGCCCGACCCCGAGAAGCTTGCCGCTGTCCTCGATTTTCCTCGTCTACTACGTCAAAAGAACCTGCGCAGCTTTCTTGGGTTATCTTCTTACTTCCGGCGCTTCATACGTGGTTTCGCGGAACTTGCGTCTCCACTCCATCAACTCCTCGCAAAGAACGTCCTCTTTATTTGGTCCGAAGACTGCGAAAGTGCTTTCGCGGCACTGAAGCAAGCCCTCACGTCGGATCCGGTACTGCGCCACTTCGATTCTACCGCACCCCCCATCGTTCACACCGACGCAAGTAGTCATGGTCTTGGTGCGGTACTCTTGCAGCGTGACAAAAACTCACGCGAACGCGTCCGTTTCTTGCGCAAGTCGTGCACTTACCGCTCCAGAAAAGAACTACACTATCACCGAGCAGGAGTGCCTTGCTGTTGTTTGGGCAGTGCGAAGAATTCAACCATATCTTCACGGCCGTCATTTTACCGTCGTGACCAACCATAACGCCCTATGCTGGCTTTCATCGCTGAAAAACTTATAGGGTCGCCTTGGTCACTGGGCACTTCGCTTGCAGGAGTATGATTTCGATGTCGCCTACAGATCTAGGAAGAAGCATCAAGGTGCTGATGCTCTATCGCGCTGTCCTTTGCCCAGCGGAAGCAATTCACCATCGATACTCCAAAACGACAGCACCTTTCCAATCGCAGCGCTAACTTCATCACCTGCCACCCTATCCGTCCTTGTTTCACAACAACGTGTCGACCCATACTGCCGCACCATTGTTGACCGCTTGACCGGCTCTACTACTCCTCCAAACGCCAGACTCCGTCGACAACTTAAACAATTTAAGCTTGTCGGTGATGCTTTATGTCGCTACATTTACCACATCGATGGCAACAATTGGGTACCCGTCATCCCACGTTCTCTGCAACGTGAAGTTCTGGAAGCCTTTTATGATGATCCAACCGCTGTTCATCTAGGCTACCACAAGACTTACGACAAAATACGAAGTCGTTGTTTTTGGCCTGGCCTCTCTTCAGCCGTCGCTAAGTACGTCGCCTCCTGTGTCCATTGCCAACGGCGAAAACGACCGACAACTGCTCCGGCTGGCTTAATGCAACCTCTTCCTTGTCCCGCCTCACCTTTTGAAGTCGTTGGAATCGACTTGTATGGCCCTCTTCATATCATCCAATGGGAATCGCTGGATTGTCTCGGCAGTCGACCACCTTACCCGCTACGCAGAAACAGCTTCTATACCATCTGGGACTGCCACTGAGATCGCCGATTTCTTCTTTCGCCACATCTTTTTGCGTCATGGAGCTCCACGCATTCTCCTCAGTGATCGTGGCAAAGTCTTCCTATCTTCCATTGTCGAGCAAGTTTTGCGTGCCTCGAACACTGTTCACAAGACCACTTCTAGCTACCACCCGCAAACGGATTGACTGAACGATTTCATCGGACCCTATCGGACATGATCGCCATGTACATTCACCCCAACCACACGAACTGGGATGCAATTCTACCCTTCGTGACATTCGCCTATAATACGGCTGCTCAACACACTACCGGCTTTTCTTTATTTTTTCTCGTCCATGGTCGCTCGCCGAGTTTCGCTCTGGATGTCTCTTTCCTTTCGGCCCCTGCACCCTCGACGGCTCCTTTCTCTGAAGAATTCCTATCTCGTCTCGCACACTGCCGTCATTAGGCCCGTGTTAACACCGGCCTCTCTCAAGACACTCGAAAATCTCGCTACGACTCGTCTCGCCGTGTTGTGTGTTTTTCCCCTGGTGACGAAGTTCTTCTATGGACTCCACTACGCGTCCCCGGCCTATGCGACAAATTCATCAGTCGCTTCATTGGGCCATACACGGTGGTCGAACAGACATCTCCTGTCAATTACCGCGTTTCTCCTCTTAGCGCTAGTCCTGATCATCGTTGCCGAGGAACAGAGATAGTGCACGTATCTCGTTTAAAGCCTTATGCGCGACGCATTTCATAATACTGTCAAGCGACCAGGCGGCCGCTTTCACCGCGCGGGGGAATTAGTGTGAGCGCGACAAGCGAATGACTCTTTATTGTCTTTGATATCATCATCACCTGTACATCTTCTTCATCTAAGAAGATGATCACCAGCGTGATTGAGCTCGAGCCCGGTAGAATAAACCGGTACCCCACAATATATATATATATATATATATATATATATATATATATATATATATATATATATATATATATATATATATATATATATATATATATATATATATATTGGCATGCGCACACAAGAGAGAGAACTTGCGTCTTACCATCGACATTGAATTGAAGTATAAAGCATTTTTCTGTATTATTCCAGTACTTCAGTTTGTAGGTAATATTTTTTCTGTCTGTAAATAAGGCACCCCTGATGAGTTTCGGCATAATGAACTTCAACCATACGCAGGATTCACCTTAGTCTCTATCTATCTTACTAACAATTAGCGAAATATTGCTCTGTATTTTTGTTTTGTTTTTTAATATCGCCTCTTTCAAGAATTTTTTTTTTCATTTCACACAAGCTGTAAGAGTGGCAAGTTGGCACATGATGTTGCCATTTTAGCAGCATTGTTCTATCATTTAATTACAGCCACAGATCTTAAGCTCTAATAAGTATCGTTAAAAATTGGGACAAGCTTTGCCAATTACGGCGTCACCATGCTATGCAAAGAAACAAAACGCTCAATATTTCGCAAGCCTCGACTTCCAAAAGAAATATTTTTGAAGGTTGCAATTTTTAACGCGGGAAGCACAGAGAACAAAATTTGACGAAACTGCTTCAGTTCAGGCCCCATAACTCCAAATGATGAACGTTTCTAGATATTTGCATGCAGTGCATGTAGTAGCAGCAATTTCTTTCACTGGTATACTTTTCTACTGCGAAAGTGGTATGAGGTCACAACTCGGGTCACTCGCGGCACCGTAGTTGCCCACTGCCGCCGCCGGTGACCGTGGCCACATCGCACGAAATTAAAAAAAACCTATCACCAATGACACAGTACGGCTGGAACTCGGGTGCGCTGTGCGCCAGCCCAGTTCTCAACCACTAAGCCACGCCGGTGCTTGGTACATGTTCACAAAGTTGCCTTAGGCAGGCTTGTTGTCGAGAAATCAATCGCGTTAATACGACTTTTAAAGCGTTTTAAAACAGCGAAAGACCAAGCAGTCGTCGCACAATGCGAATAGCGTAACGAGTGGGTCGTGCAATGCTCCAACCATTACAAAAGCTTGTTCTTGTTCAGCTATTAACTGTGGTGCATACCCGCTTCTGGCATAATTTCACATCACCGTCAGCCACTGCATGAACAAGTGGCACAAAATTTCTTGCAAGTGTTTAGCGGACACCACGGTTCTCCGAAGAATGACGAAGGACAGCATAGTCAATGCCAGCATATTAACCATAAATTATTATTAATAATGCCGTAGTGAGCATCGAGTTAGTGTGCTTGAAGTAGTTACCCAATGAGCGTTTAGAAAGGTTTCTGAAAGGCCGCTCTTCTAGCTTTCGCTGTGACTGTGCTGCGCCTTCCACACAGGCCAGACCTTTTTTTTCTTCTTAACTACCTGGAGGTTATTTGGCTTGTTGCCATGCTAAAATCTACTTCCTTATTTATTTTATTAACCATCAACTAGACTTGGACATTGCGCGTGCATTTTGAGCACCGTTGAACACATATGACCTTTCTGGTTGATCTAAAAATGATCACACTCTTCATCAGAATCATCATGGGCGAAGCCTCTTAGGCCGTGGGTCGTTCCCTCCTCTGTCGTAGTAGTATGTTGCCACCTCTACTTTATAAGTTGCTCAACAGATGGCATCGTATGTATACTTCTTTGGGGATAATATAACTAAATGGTGGTAGTGAGTTCCACAATTCACAGAGTGAACGATGGTGAGCGTGGCCAAGTGTCCATCCGTTCGTCCATGTGTCCATTCGTTCGTGCGCCCATCCATTCGTCCATCCAATCATCCATCCGTGCTTCCGTCCGTCCGTGAGTCCGTACGTTCGCCCATCCGCCTGTTTGTCCGTTCATCTACGCGTCTTTCCATCCGTGATTCCGCCCATGCGTCCATGCTTCCGCCACTCGTCTGTCCATCCGCCCGTCCGTGCTTCCATCCATTGGTGTGTCTATCCCCGGACAGACAGACGGACGCTTCGCCCAACTCATTATCGTCCACTACGTTGATATGCTGAGATTTTTTGATCGTATGGCTGTGCTTGTATCAGCAGTTCCCTTGGTAAAATCTTCCCTTTGTTTGGGGGCGAATCGGTAGCACATCCTTTATCAGGAGCATTCCAAGCAGTTTGTTCACCTTGTTCAAGTTAGCTTAACAGCTAAATTGTGAACCTAACTTTCTATTGCAGCGGGTTTTCCTGCGCAAGGTAAAAATAGATATATTTTTAAAGACAGCCAAACTCTGAAGAAACAAACAAAGCCTTATATGGAGGCTCTTAAGGATGACTAAAAGAAAATGCAGCCACATTAACTTCAGCAATGGCAATTTTTGCTTTGTTGTTGAGTGCTCTGCCATAGTAGAGCACCTAGTACTCTAAATCATTACCCCTTTACTCTAAGCACAAGAAACGCGTTAGGGGTCGGTTATATGCGACAGCCGTTCAGCTTAGGCCCCCGGAACGGCTTTATGCTCTCCCATAGTAGATTATCTAGAAGTCTGAACCGTTAACAACTTCTTCTAAACACACATTTTTGATGAGACACAGACGATGTTATCCGGTTCATTGCGCAGATGTGAGGACCACGGGACGGCTTTAAGCCCTCACATTGTAGAGTACCTACTACTCTAAATCGCTAGCCACTTTTTCTAAACACATATTTGGTGCCGTTTACGGCGGACTAACGTAGCCACGGGATGACTCTAAGTTCTCCCATTGTAGAGTAGCTAGTACTCTAAATCGTTACCCACTTTTTCTAAACACACATTCGCTATACCGGGTCGGCTTTCTGCTTTTACAAAGTAGAGTGCCAAGGACTCTGAATTGATAAACACTTTTAGGGGCGAAGCTTCTGAGGCTATGGGTCGTTCCCTCCTCCGTATGTAATATGTCGCCACCTCTAGTTTATGACTTGCTCAATAGATAGCGTTGTGTGTATATATCCTTGGGAATAATATATCTAGATGGCGTTAGTGGTTTCCACGGCATATCCACGGAGTGAATCGTAATTAGTCGGGCGAAGCGTCCGTGGTTCTATTCATGCGTCCATCCGTACGTGCTTCCGTCCATCTGTATGACGCCATTTCCAGTTTATGACTTGCTCAATAGATAGCGTTGTGTGTATATGTCCTTGGGAATTATATATCTAGATGGCGTTAGCGATTTTCACAGCATATCCACGGAGTGAATCGTGATGAGTCGGGCGAAGCGTCCGTGGTTCTATTCGTGCGTCCATCCGTACGTGCTTCCGCCCATCTGTATGTCCGTCCATCAGTCCGTCCATGCTTCAATACGTCCGTCCGTGTTTCCCTCCATATTCCCATCCGGACGGATGAATACACGTACAGAGGCAAAAACGGATGGTTAGATGTAAGCACGGACGGGGACATGGACGGACGGACAAAAGCATGTACGGACAGACGGACGGACGCTTCGCCTCACTCATGATCATTCACTCCGTGGATATGCTGTGATTTTTTTCATTTCTCTGTCACACGACAACACCTCTGCTAATGTAATTCCTCACCCATCGTGACCCCTGTATTGGGTGTTTCTGCAAATACTTTCCAAGCACCTGTATGGTTACGAAAATAATCTGTTTGAATCCCGCTCAACCATAAATTTTGTTTTAATTGTGCGCAATAGTGATTATAAATGCCAGCGGCCTCTGATAGTGCACTAGTTACTACGCCACCAAAATTAGCTGTTGTATGATTTTGCAACAGAATAACGCGTAACACACTGGATTCAATGAATTACCGAATGGACTTAACCTGAAAAATTCTATATATAAATATATATATAGACGCAAGCCTCTTTTTCATTCCCTCTCCAGCCTGAGCCCCAGGAACAATGCACACATGGGTCACTTTAACGCGTGCACATTAAAAAAGAAACCTGACATCGGCAGCGTTGACCCAACAAATGCAAAAAAAAAATTATGTCAGAGTACCATCAGGAATTCAACCGAAGTATTCTGCGTGGCGTTCAAGCATTTTACCACAGAGCCAAATCAGTCCCCGGAACTGCTTTTAAACAGACCCTAATGCTCGTGAAATGTCAGTTGTCGTTACTAGTGTCGCTATCTGAATTTATAAAGCTTACACATGTACGCTTGACTGAGCCCTCACGGCGGGTTAACGTCAATTGCAGTTGCGTGCCATGCGCTGGAATAGGTGACCAGTAAAAGAGCGAGGGATTGTGGGATGCACCGTCTGCTGCTGTCTTCTGATTCCAGAAGAGTAGACGACGGTGAACCGCTTTGCCGCAGGCCTCAGATTATTCGGTGTTCGCGCACGCGGTCGCTCGCTTATCTTCGTCCTGATAAACCACGGTTGGTTTTTCAGCCGTCGACTACTCCAACTCTAGCGTGAAAGGCAAAAGCAGGTATCGATTCCCATGAAACGAAGAAAGAAAAATGGGGTGGGCTGCGGCTGTGAAAAGAACCATAGCGACAGGTATAGCCTTTACGGAACGTTGAAGCCAGAGTGTGTGAAAACCATTTTATCACAGGTACGTGTGTAGTTCATTGATTGATATGCGGGGTTTAACGTCCCAAAACCACGGTAATAATTATGAGAGACGCCGTATAGTGGAGGGCTCCGGAAATTTCGACCACCTGGGGTTCTTTAACGTGCACCAAAATCTGAGCACACGCGCCTACAACATTTCCGCCACCATCGGAAATGCAGCCGCCGCAGCGGGGATTCGATCCCGCGACCTGCGGGTCAGCAACCGACTACCTTAGCCACTAGACCACCGCGGCGGGGCTACGTGTGTAGTTCACACGAATATAAGAGCTTACGCATGAATTTATTGCGAGTGATAAATTGAGAAAAAAAATTATCACGCAGGTGCGCCCGGCAAAGATAATATGAGAATGAATGGGCGAAATCTACCTGCCATACGAAATAAGTGCCGACTATTGCACCTATTTATATGACAAAACACGCATAAGGCTCACTCGTGAGTAAGTTTACACAAAGTGCCGGACGAGTTTATTTGCGTTTATCTTGGTCAAACTGTGCGATAGGACGGCACACAAAGGAAGAAGTGTGTTAAACAAGGGCAGGGTTTCAATTATTCAGCTCCGTCTATGTCTGGCTGTATTGTCATGTGCCGCCATGCCGCGGAGCGTCATCAAAATCAGCGTTCAAATAATCATCTGGCTTCGACTAAGTAATGTATCTTATAGCGCGCTGAAGGCTAGAAAAAAAATAAAAATATATCTCAACTTGCTCCATAAGTGCTGCGCTTCATGCTGATCAACCGACGTCGGCCGAAGCAGCAATCCCAAAATGACCTCTTAGAACACTGCTACAGTCAATCCCATCCCCTGAGACATTTAAAATGGTGATTTTTTATCTGCAAAACATGCCATACCATGAAAACTGTCTTCTGTATCCATTGATCTGCTAGCCAATTGACAGTACACCTGAGCAGCATAAAAGCATTGCAGATCATTTTAGTGCAATAAAAAAGTTTCCTTACCGTTCATGGCTTTCGTAGCTTTTCATCGTCGCAGTCACGGTTAGCAAAAACAAAAAACAAACTTTTAAAGCACTGACAATGCACGAAGAGGTGCTTTTTTCAACGGAGCGGTGCGAAAATGCGCGCGTGCCGCTGCTAACCCGCGTGGTGCGTCAAACCGGAAGCCCTCATATCCCACAGTTCCCTGCGATTAATGCATAGTACCAGCCGAATATTGCGTTATGTAGCATTGCCCAGGGCTACCATCCTCGTGAGCACTAGTGCATTATATCAGCTTATCGCTTCTTGTGTTGATGTTCCTGTTGGCATCATTGCGCAAGTGGAAACAACTGGTTATATAAACATCTGCAATTCTTCAACATGTGTCTGTGCGCACAACACTTATACATAAGTTTATCTTCGTTTTGTGATTTCTCGCTCAATAAAAAGTTACAACATGGTCACCTTTCCTTCGCATGCTTCGCATAACGTCAATTCTCGAGATACGTTGGATCGACCTTTTTTCCCCCTCCAATGTTTTATTATTCTCTTATATTTTCGCTGGCATTCATAATAAGACAAATATTGAAACAATATCGAGTCACTCACCCCACAATCTGGTCATGTTCATGGTGAAATTTGCGTCACGTATTTCCAGCACATGTGTATACCAGTGACAAATGTCTACTTTTGTGTCCGTATCACTTCTGTAAATGTACAGATAGAACCAGTCTCAATACTTTTTGTGAGGACCCCCAGCTGTGACGATATCATAAAATGAAACCACGAAACAAGGATGACATTTCCGTACTTCATAATTGACGTCTACATAATAATCATTCGGCAGACCGGCATCGATGTGTTGATCAGTCTCCATATTGAGTGACCCATATGTGAGTGAGAAGGCGTATACTTGCAAACGGCCACATTATCTGACGGGTTCGAGCTCTCTTTTTCTGCCACTTTTTTTTTGCTTTCTTCGCGCTCTCGGCCCTTGTGGCAATAAATGTTGTGTCTACGTACGCCTAGCTTAGGTTAGTTAACAGTCGAATAAATCAGTAATCGAAGCCTCTACATATTTTAAATAGACGGCGTTTACAAGCCTGCTTCGCTGAAATTTCTGCGTCGGTGTTGGCATTAATGTCGTTGGTTATAAACGAAACATCGTCATCTTTTTGGGGCCAAAAAGGCAAAAAAAAAGAATACGGAAATAAAGTAACCAATGAAAGTAATCGGGTCCGAGTGAGAATCGAACCCAGGCCGTCTGTGGGCCAATCAGGTGGGCTAAAATAGAACCTCGAGGTTTTTTGTGTGTTGTTGTTGTTGTTGTTGTTGTTGTTGTTGTTGTTGTTGTTGTTGTTGTTGTTGTTGTTGTTGTTGTTGTTGTTGTTGTTGTTGTTGTTGTTGTTGTTGTTGTTGTTGTTGTTGTTGTTGTAAAAAAGAAAAACAGCTATGATTGATGCTCTGAAAATTACTAATTTAGGGATACCTAAACGCAAGTAAAACAGAGAAAACTAGCCTAAAACATCGCTAGACGACGTTTATACTCGTGGTATTCGAATTATTTAGTCATGTAAGATGCTTTTCGTTGATCGCGAATGTTTAGTATGTCGGTCAATCAGCCTAGCCCTCAAAAAAGCATGCATACCAATAAAGAAAAATTATGGTATATGGTAAGGTTCTATCTTTTGTCAAATCAAGATGCCCATTGTTTGAAGGATTCAAATCAAAGTTCTTTTTTTTCAATTTCGCTGCAGAACATCCTAAAAGAGCACTACATCATGACAGTCAAGAAAACAATAATCATGAGTGTCTGGCTTTCAACAGTATCTATTATTTATGTTTCAAGAAACAAGAAATCTTTTAGTCATTTGTCATGTCTTCTAAACGAGAATACCTGCGTGCATCTTGAAAAAAAAATTTTTCTCTGAAAGACTGCGAAGAAGAAAACGTCTAGTCGGCAAGCAGCATTACAAACGCTGCGTTTTTTTTTTCACAGGACATATTTCTTTTTTGAATTAACAGTCTATTTCCAAACGTAGCTTGATAAAGCAGGATCGAAAAGCAAATGTTATTAATATTCTTTCCCAACTCCTTCGGATTTGCGCTAAATAAATGTGTTACTGAAAATATTGTTTGGAGAAACTGGTCGGCATCAATAATTCTTTTGTAAACCTAAAAATCGGATAACTTTCTGCAAATGATAACTCAATAGGGCGTTGTAAATGAAGTGAGAGACGGCGTTGAATCACCTTTCGCAGAAACGGATGTGCTACACCACGAAAATAATAATAATAATAATAATAATAATAATAATAATAATAATAATAATAATAATAATAATAATAATAATAATAATAAACAACAGCGACTATGTGCTATACTAGCAAATGCGCAATGTCAATAGCCCCTCCAAAAAGCTGAAAAAATAAGTTATCTTATCTAATTGGTTCCGAAGTATAACGCAAGACGATACTCAGAGTACGACTGCAGGTTGCAGCTATGGACCATCATTCGTAAGTCATCGCTTATGCCAATGGCGTTGCTTTTATGTGTTGACATAGGACAAATGTAAAAAAAGTAAGTTTGTTTTCTTACAATTGCCACATATGCCTTGGAATGAACCATCGATCCAGTCAAGCTGTTTGACAACAACTTTTAGCCGATGGTATGCGCCAGAATCTTTGTGTTTCTGGAAATAAAAATCTATTCTATTCTATGTTAAATAGTATTGTTACTAGCGCAATCATTTTGTTCTGTTACTAGCGTATTCATTATTTTGATAGGACCCCGGAGATTTCGGTTTGCTCAGTGGGCAGTCACCCCATAACAGCATTCCGGCATTCGTAGGGACACGGCCCCCTCACGTTATCTTGGCGTTCCCTTTTATCAACTCTGCGGCAGTAACGGACGTTGTTCGAACTGTGGCATGAAACTTTACCATGCATCTGAGGCTTCAGGTGGAGGAGAACGCTCCGTCTTCTCAAAAGCAATAGTCACAATACTTTTTGTAGCTGCCTTGCTGATTTATGTACTTCAAGTCTTTCATTGTGCCAGAGAAAGTATTCAGTTGTGCCGCAAGACATTCTAGCCATGATGTTTCTAAAAACTGGTTTGGAAAAAATCCCTACATGAATACCATGTAGTGGAAGGAGCCTCCTTAATGCATTAATTATGACGTAGCAGAAGCGTAGAATGACGTCAGACGTCAAAAATATGAATCGAGCTAGACATCGGTGTTTTAAAGAGCCACGCATTGCGAATAGCTTAGACTTGATTAATTCGCATTAGCAAAAGAACCATCAACAATGAATAGCTGCGTAGGTGTGCGTGTTGCCCTACGGACGCCTAATGAGCCCTTAGCTGATTCTCAACGGGAATGATTACAGCGTACTGGTCACTTAACTGTGCTTGCAGTAGGCATCCAATGATACTTTGAAACAGCCGATAGTACGCGTGTAGCCATTCGTTTTCACACTGCACAGTTGGAGGCATGCACCGAGAACCCAAGCAGACTCGCAGTTCAGAAGGTGATGCGCACAAGGCCTGCTCTTGAAGGCGAAGCTTCTTATGGCATGGCTTGTGCGTCCCTCGTTGTCGTGCATAAGTCCCGGTGGGACATACCCGAAAGAGCGATCCTTAAAATCTCCGCTGGATGGCGGTACTTGTATAAGATGAATACATTATGAAAAGATGCGATATGGCTGTATTCGGAGTGTTCACTAGATAGACGGACGGACGGATGGACATACCGATGGACGGACGTACTGCTGGACAAACAGACAGACAGACAGACAGACAGACAGACAGACAGACAGACAGACAGACAGAGAGGTGAATGCACGGACGGACGGATGGATGGACGGACAGACGCACCGACGGTCACACGGATGGATGGACACACGGATGGACGCATGGACGGACGGAAGCAAGAACGAATGGACGGACGGGTGCATGGACAGACGGGCGAATGCTTCGCCCCACCAATAATCATTCACTCCGTGGACATGCTGTGATTGTTTTTTCTATTAAACACTTCTGACAAATAAATCGGCATAAATACTTTATAAGCACTCCACAAGGGGTGAAAAATTTGAGTAAAGTACTCACATGTTCTTTAGAACTTCGTATTTTTGGCCGAGTAGGAATTTCGTCATTCCGTATCCCTCGAGAATTCCGTATTGAAAGCATTTTGTATACTGTGAAAGTGTGTGCGTTGTCTGGTGTACCCAATATGATGAACTGCTTGCAAGGGCCTGAAGTGAGCATGTGAACATACCGACAGATTATTTTTTTAAATACAAGGTTAAAAACAAAGCAAAAAAGTTGCTACTGACAAATCATCGAGCCTGCGAGATATACTTGTCATTGTATATGATGTTGTGAAAGCATCTCAAGTCTGCATACAGTCGTCATGCGAATAAACTAATACATCTGATCTTTTTTGGCAGTAACGTAGTCACTGTTGTTGGAATAAAATTTCATGAAAGTATAACCCAGTCTGAATGGCATTCGGATGCAAAAAGTATTGCGTGTGTGTTTCACCTGAACACATACTATTCATTTCATGCTGAGAACAACTTCACCAAACTAAGCGACGGGGTTGAGCTGAACCTTTATGGGTTTGTTGTGTATAGCAAACTCGGAGAATCTTGCCTGCAGCCTGAGCTCGTTGATTGTCAATAGCGAGGGGGCTCCAGCAAAGTATTTCGACGAAGACAAAAATACAAATCAAAAAGCCCTCTGCTGACAATATGATGCTGCCTCCTGGCACTTGTCCTTGGTTCTGCACAAACTCACGCTTCCCGACGCCACTGCCAGATGGTGTCCATATCTACCGTAGCGTACGCTGCATAGGCTGCTTCACGCAGCGTCATATTTGACACGAATGAGACCAGGACTCATGTAGTAAGGCCGACTATCAACTTTCCCCGACGTTTTCAGCGAAGAATGCAGATACGTGGCCAATTGTTTTTTTTTCACCCCCTTGACTACTGTGTACTGTAAGTATATGTTAATAGCATGTGAACGTCAGCCATTTAGTATGTTTAAGTGGGTTTTATTGCAATGAAAACGCATGAGCAGCTAATAATTCTGTAAAAGTCATTTACACCATATATCAGCCACCACCTCGTTCAGATGGCACAGACATGTGTTAGTTTCTCAAAAACAGCTTGCTAAGGTTCCTTCATTTCTTTATTATATTTAGGTGACGCATAAAACATGTGTTCCGAAACGATGATTTGAAAGTTAGTTCAGCAGGAATGTTGTTTCAGGAATCACACCAATGGCAGCTACGCAGCACCCCAATTTATGGTCCTTCTTTTTTCGTCCCGAAGCCATAGAAGGAATAGGGAAGGATACTACGCAGCCGTAGATGCAACGTCAAATGAATACATCACCACTGTGTTACCTCGGGTTCAGGTTATTATTGCGATACCATTACGAATATTAAGCTACACGAAAATATAGAAGAAAAGTTATAAATTTTTCGGAGTCGTGAAGCAGGCGTTGCAATGCATGAATTTCATTGCCTCCGTTTGGACGAATAGTTCCACAAAAATGGAGAATAATGTTCCTCGTAAAATAAGCTAAGGAGATAAACCTTCCTGTGTTGTTGCATGTAAGGAAGTGTCAATTGCACCAAGCAGGGTAGGTCGTCGATTGCTGATCGGCACGTTGCAATGAACGGATCTCAGCCGTGGCGGCCGCCTTTTCGATGGAAGCGGTAATGCTTGAAGCCCGTGTACTTAGACTTATGTGTACGTCGAAATACCCCAGGTGGTCATTATTTTACGGATTCCTACAGTACGGCGGCTCTTTTTGTCATATCGAGGTTTTATGATGCTAAACCTCAACAGATCCTATTCTTAAAAAGGGTTTTAGGGGCGAAGCTCCTCTTAGTGTAACTTTGTAATGTGTCACGCCTTACCGACAGAATAATAAAACGAGAAAAATAACAATATAATATACGGCACTGTCTCAGTGAAGCAAATACAAACTGCAGTTGAGTGAGAATATTGTAGATGGCGCTGTGCACTCTCCGATTGGCTGCAGCGCGGGCGTCGCCTGGATACGCGCAAAACGAGAACATCTCCCAGTCTTCTGGATCGTCGCCGTACGTGGCGGATCGTTGGTGGTGAGGCATTGACGAAGCAGTTTGGTGGGTGTGAAGACGCGGCTACTTGTGCTCATCGCCGGACAGAGAAACATACAGACACAGAGAGAAAGGCAGACCGAAGAACGGACACACGAACGGACACACGAACGGACGCATGCACAGATAAACGGGTGCGTCGACGCACGCACGGATGACGGACGGACGCCTCGACCCACTCATCATCATTCATTCCGTGCATATTCTGTCATTTTTTGTTCTGTAAGTGCATAAACATGAGGCTTGACGTGCTCGTGATTTGAGCTAGTACATATTTGTATATGTTCTCTAATAAACATATTTTAAAGTTAAGTGTTTGTTCTGTCCACTTTTTTCTTTTCCGTCTTTTGCGTGTGTGTGTGTGTGTGTGTGTGTGTGTGTGTGTGTGTGTGTGTGTGTGTGTGTGTGTGTGTGTGTGTGTGTGTGTGTGTGTGTGTGTGTGTTTGCGCGCGTGCGTGTGTGCGTGCGATACTCATTTCACGTCATGTTGCAAGAAGTGCATGCGAATAAATTGGTTTATTGTTCTCTTAAATGTAAGCTAAAGGGCAGCTGGCCTCTTCAAGCATTTTTTTCTTCGAATATTTTTTTTTATTTTCAGTCAAAACACGTTAATTCTTTAGAAAAAGAATTATATTGAAAGTAAATACATACTGCATGCATTTAGTTGGTCTTTTGCAGATATCAACGAGCTTTGTAACCACCGATGAAGAATAATGTAATCTTCTTGAAATCGTGAATCGAGTTAAGTGCGCAAGCAAATACCTGTACTGGACGCCAAAGTACTTGCGTCAAGTTTACAGAAGTGATAACGCTCTCACCGATATAGTTTGACTATAACACATCAAATGTTCGCAAATTCATCATCATGAGCTCATATAGATGACTCTGTGTGGGGAGATGACTCAGCGTTGAACGAGACAGCATTCATGAAGCAGTCGTACCATCTTTTCTTCCTTTCATGACATTCAGTACTAAAATGTCATTATTGTCAGCAGTTGCAACATTTGTATTTTGCATGAGTATAAATTTTAAAAGTCATAGGAGGAATTTAGAAGGATACTACGCAGCCGTAGATGCAATGTCAAATAAATACATCACAGCTGTGCGCCTGGGGTTCAGGTTATTATTGTGATACCTCTGTTCGCAGCAAGTTACAAAAAAGAAAAAGAATTGGGGGACCCTTAAAGGCCGACTTCGGTGATTTTTCGACCATGTCAGGGTAATGGTGCTTTTATGTTTCTGAGGCACGTTTGCCATGAGCCCGACGGCTGAAATGCTCAGCAAATTCGGAAATAATATTTATTAAGCAAAAAGGTGCAGTACCGATACCGAAACCTAACCAAGTGCATTATCTACGTATGGCGTACTATTTGGTAAGAAGCGGTTGTCGTATACTTGTCCAGCGGGCGAGGAATGTCAAAACCGTGAAAGCAGGGACGAGCAGGCACTGGTAGCCAAAGCGAGCTTGCCCAGCGGAACCGGCCAAACGCCACGGAGAAAGGAAAGAAGCTTTTCCGTGCCAAACACCGCCACCATCGCCTTGTAAACACACAGTAAACGCTGTAGCGGCCAAAGTCAGTGATGCCATCAGCTGCGTCACTTCCGTGGACCTATCAAACGTGACGTCACACCGACAGCGTTGCCAATAATTCTGGCAAGTCTGATGATCTTGATGCAATTTTTAAAATTCATTTGCAAACAAGAAGTGCATCACTCAAGCATGGAATTTAGCATAAATAACGGGAATGTGCAAAGAGACGTGCACACATAATTTCATTTAAATCCACTGACCTAAAAAAATCACCAGAGTTGGCCTTTAGAGGGGCCCTGAAACACTTTTTCAAGTAACCATGGAATTAATTCACTGGAATAGCTTATTTCCTCACGAATTCAACGCTGCAAAAATTGTAAGAATCCGTACAGTGCGAGTGGAGTTACAAAGGTTTCTCGCATGCTGCAATTGCATTCTCTCTTCTGTCGTTCCGACGAAAGCACTGGAAGCTAATGGCGAATTCCACTCGTCGAGCGGGAGCAAGTTTTCTTGCTCCAAAGCTGACAATCCGCGTTTAGCTGGTAGATTCGGAACAAGCTCGCATGTTCCGCTGGCAGATTCGGAGCAATCCACTCCGCGATGGAGCGTTCCACGTGGTCCGTGTTGCGGAGACGGATTTCGCCGGAACTCCGAGAATGCGCTGCCGTAATTTCCGGTACAGTCAGGCAGCTAATTTGCCCTCAGCATTTTTTGAGACGGTCTAGTAACCCTGTGCGCTTGTTTACATTTCTAAAATTGGAAAGCGGTAGCCCTGCTTTCCTCGAGACTGAGTGGTCGAAATGCATGCTTTGCAGTCGCGACATAGTTGTCATTGAAACGTCGAGAGCAGAAAAGAAAATCATTTCCGGTACCAGTTTAGTGGCGCATGCGTAAAAAGCTTCCCGAGAGACCTCACGCGGGGCATACATGTTCCACTCGCAGATCTCATTTGCAAACTCCTATTGCTCGCTCCGAGATTTTGGCGGCCACTCCGGATCTACCAGTAAAATTCGCCATAAGCAGGGAGGGATGGCAGGGGCAAAGAGAATACGTCACGTGCACCTTGTGGCCTTGAGCATTTTGTTTTTCTTTTTTTGTGTGTGCGGCTTTTTCAGTGTGATTGCACGCGCACGCGTGGACAAGTCGCGGCATCCCGCGGCAATCTCTGTAACGACTGAGCACGCCATGTTCAAATCAGAAATTGGCTAATATATGGTTGTTCTATGAGTGATTTTTGAGCGTCTTCTGCCATTTGTCGAGAGAAGAGCAAGCAATTTTTCAGCTGACTTTCATAATTTATTGTGAATTCCCGGCCACGTGCTGCGCTACAATATTTGATTCGAGTGTAGTCGGGAGACTTTACTATATACCGATCGGCAGCGTTTTCTGACGATGCTCAAAAAGTCTGGCAGGGCCCCATTAAGCTTCGCCTTTAAGAATTTAACACGGTAGCGATATATCCTGTCCCTAGAGCAAAATTTTATATGCAAAGCAGCTCTATGACGAGCCTGTGTAACGTTGTCCCTCCGTCCGCACCGCTCCCCTTGCCGCAAGTGTTAGCGCGGTGC